TCTAGTTTTTATGCGTTTTTTGCAGCCATGCAATGCAGAAAACGCATATTGGCGAGGGGTTGTCTGTGTGTCCGTGTGTCTATGTGTCTGTGCGTGCGTCTGTCATGCACTTTCGTTTCAAGACCTATAAAAGCTGCGAGGCTGAAACTTCGAGCACTTAATCTACATGCACGTGCTGGTTCCAATCCCCAAAATGGGCGCCAAAACTCGTGTGGTACCCGCGTACGGGCCCGCCAAAATTTTTCTCGGGTAAGTTCATAACTCGGAGATTTGAGAAGCTAGAACGCTTAGGGTAATGTTCCCCGTCCGACTGGGTATTAATGCACTCAAACCTATCTCCCGGTAAGTGTGGTACTCGCGTACGGGCTCGTCAAATTTTTCTCGGATAGATTCATAACTCGGGGATCTAAGAAGCTAGATCGCCGAAATCTTAGGGTAATGTTCCCCGTCCAAATTCAGCGTGGTACGTACGTACGGGCCCTTAAAACTTTCTCCCGGGTAAGTTGCTAACTCAGGAAAGTGAGAAGCTAGAAGACTGGAATTTTGAAGGGACGTTTTCTTACAGTCCTGGCGGCCAATCTGAAATTCTTTAAGCTAGAAGCATCTGCCAGAAAAACCAGTGCCGTTAGCGACAAAAATCTGCAGGGAGCTATGCAAAAAACGCATCTTCGCACGGGCAGCCCCTGCGTTGGTCAATTACTACGGCTTCTTTTTCATATGCTCAGATTTGCCTTAATTCACCTCCTTTTGTTGTACTGTTTGTGTTTTATTGCTGTCTCCAGTTCCTGCTTACGAGCTTCTGACTTGTATCCCGGTTCCCCTTCGTCATCTTGCTTCCAATTCTACCTCCACAGTCCATAAAACGAGTGCACGTTGCGTGGAAGAACCGAATTTTTATAGTTGCTTATCCCAGCTCTGGGCCCCGTGGTCGAAGGCCGCATCATATCGGCCCTTCTCGCCACTTACCACCCTCAAAATCCTGCCCGAGGTGTCGTTTCGGATGGCCAATAGCTTTCCCGCCAATTGTAAACCACCCTAGCCATCCTAGTACCTAACCAGGTACAGTCAGTGTTGGCATCCAGGAGGTCACTTGC